TCCAACAGAGAAACACGCTTATCTGTTACATGACATATAAGATACAAATGGAGACACTTTGTACCTGCCTTCCTAATATGCTGTCTGTATTTGGAAAGGCAGGTACTTTCCCCGGCTGTAATGTCAACACGGGCACCTGACCACTGACTCACTTTCTCTCCTGACTCCTCGTGATCCCATCTCTCCTCTTACTCCAACTTCTTCTCTTATCCTGATGAATCGACTGTAGGTTCACAGGCCTGAGCAGCTTGTTCACATCACATATCTGTGGCGGCAAACCTGCTACACAGCTGTTGCTAAGTAACTGTTGAACCTGTGCCTGCTAATGTGTGCAATGTTTGGCATGTCACCATAGCGATGTTACGGAGGGCTGGGTTAAATATTTGCAAAGAATCACTTATTAGAGGCACGGGCTGGTGAAACTGTGTCTGTAGAGGGGCTTTATGAGGAACTAGCCACGGGGTGAAGGGATAGAGAAAATGAAACAAAAATAAAAGTGATAGAATCTAAAGAGGAACTATTTATTCAAATCTAAATTGGCAAAACTAATGTTTAATGTCTTTGTCATCAGTATCAATTTTGTTTCAGTATATTGGAAACATCAGCAGCCCTCAGCAGTCATTTTTGCATCTTGACCTCACCTGGCAGTCACCATGTGCCATATGATGATGACTTGGCAGTTTTTTTTAACCATCCAATGAGTCAGATCCAAAAAGTCCCTAAGTCCTTTCAGGGATGAATAGCATGAGTTGTGTCTTTAGAAAGGAATCCTTAAGGGATACAAATATACTCTTTATTAAATGAAACCCCGCTTCAGTGTTGCAAGTATAAAAGTGTTATATTCATGATGGCAGATGCAGTTCAGAAGGAATAATTAAGTTGATTTTTTTTGCACCACAACACTGTTGAACACTGCCATAATAATCGATAATATTATGAATTTAAAAGTTTTCTGACGTTGTTGTCAACCAAATACCTAGTATTCTGATTGAGTAACATGTACACGCAGATGCTACATGCTTGATAAGGGTAAACACAGGCCTAGTTAATGATCCATCTGTAGAGCTTATAGTGACATTACACAGTCACAGTACACAGAAGCCATGACGGCACACTATAGGGATGTGGGGTTTATTTTGTATGAAGCTTGTTCTTCACGACACAATACCAATTTCCTTTATGTGCATGCCAGTTTGTAGCAAAACAAGGACAGCCAGATAATTTGTTGTTCTGGAAAATGTTCATAGCGGATAGAATAGCGGAATTAGAGAGAGCATCAATTATAATAATTTTGAATATGTCACAGCAAGATGAGTTATTTAATTTCATGCTACAGAATAACACTATTATCATATTAAGGTTCATGTGATGAGAGGGAACCTATGTTACAAAATCAAATTATGCATAGTGGCCGGATGCTTTTTAGGCTCTGAAAAAAGGGGCTTTTCCAGAGGACAAATGGTTTTCCTATACTATGTCACCCCTTAAAAATTACATGGTAAACACATATTACATACAGTGTAATATATGTTTTCATAATAAGAAATATATGTTTAAGATTGATAAAACTGATCCCCTTAACCATTTTCTAGGTTCTCCAAGATCTTACTTTATATTTGTTTATGGATTAGTGAGATCTTTGCATCCTATTGCATCGATTTCTTTACTACACATATTCGCAAAGTTTACACATACTTACTCACTGTTTTTATTAGATCTCTGATGCAGTGTTGTGCGATCAAGTCCAAACATGTTAGAAAACTACATGTACTCTGGCATGTCACTTAAGAAAAACCCCAGTGGAAAACCTGGCATTTAGCACTCGCTCACTTAGTCAACAAAGGGGAAAAAAAGGAAAAAATATATACACAACAACCTGGAATCCACCGTCAGCAGGAATGCTTCTTTAAGCTTGTGTTTGTGTGAGCATGTGTGTGTGTGCCCCTCCCTGTTAGAGTGACTTTCCATGCAACTGAGGCAAGAGACAGAATAGAAACAAGTATAGTGAGGTAACCACAACACACACACACACACACAGAAACGCATATTCCCGACATGCATGTCACTGCAGCCATTTTCTTACCTTACCGCCTATACCAATTAACTGTCTTCCGGGTGAGAAAGTTTCTAAAAAGGTACAAGAAAATTAAAAGGAGAGGGAGAATTTTTCCACACCCTTTATACAGCCCTAAAATATACTTTCCAAAGTATGTAATGCTGTCAGATTTATAGTTGGGCAAGTTATTTTTATCTCGCTGCATTTATTAATAGCTGAACATGAGAGGCCTGTTTGGCTTCTGTCGGCGTGTCTGTCCATCTGTCTGTGTAACAGGGCTGTGAGTTGGGATAAACGGGGGGGCAATGCTCACTGGAAGATTCTGACATGAAAATCTTAATAATCGAGTATCCACACGAAAGCATATAAATAATGAATGCTACATTTGTTCATTCAAATAAAACCCAACGACAAACAAATGGTATTTAAATGTATGAAAACTAAAGGCTCTGATGTAACTATTTATACACTGAACAAGAAGTGAGAACAGTATGGGGAGAACAGAGATGTATTCTGGCGGGAAATTGTATTGAAATTAGGGTTGTCTCATACTTATTTATTTAAGTGATAAGATAGTATATCAACAATATTTTAATTGGGTGATTTACTTCATTTTCATATTGCTTCCCGTGTGTATTTTCCTTTTGAGAGACTTTTTTCTTCTAGTAGAGCTGTGTGATCTTTTCAAACAGACTCATTGTTTAACAAAAGCATGACTCCTAAATTGAGTATATGTGTAGACTGGATACAATAACAAATTATTCTGCTGATTTTCTACAGGCATTTGATCATTGCAATGTGTGTTTTTTGCAAATTATCAAATGTTTGAATCATACAATCTAAGATGACCTGCTAGATCTACCTAACTCTCCTACCTCTCCTGACTCAAGTATTTAAATACTTTTCAAAATAATGTGAGTAAAAAAATTGGCAGCCAAAACGTTGTTGTCATGGCTCTAACAACATACCTTGTAAGCAAAATTATTGATTGCTTAGAAATGTTAAAAATGGTCTTGTATCATGGGCCTGGATTACATTTAGGGCACGTTAAGCAAAAATCAACAACTACATTTCCACAAGATAAATACCATTTGGTATACCTTCAAATCATGTTATACTAGTTATGTGAATTTCACTGTGTCATTTAAATTTCATAATCTGTTTGGTGTTTTTTCTGGTGGCACCCTTTTTTGCTTAGCCATCAATTTTACACTGATTTTCAATACTTGCACAACAATTATTAGAACGTATGAACCCGTCATTGCCAGGACTGAATATGACTCATGTGAGTGGGTGAATCAAGCAGCAGTTAAGAAAAAGATGTAGTCTACCGATTAGCAGAAATTAGCACCAACGACTTGTAGAAAGAAAACGGAAGGTGATGACATTGCTTCCATCAGATAATTTACGTGTGTATAAGTCATTTATTGGAGTTTCACCAGGTCAGGAGACTCTTTCTTGCTTATCTCTCTGCTTTGCCCGCCCCCATTTCCCACATATCCCACAGCTAAGTCTAAGTAATCTCTTCTGTATTCATCTGATTTCATGAATGAAACACAAAGCAAAGCTTCTTTGTCCAAGAGTCAATAGCTCTGCTCAGATTATAAAGCTATTTCAAGCTTTATCATTGATTTAATGTGCTATAAACATATGTATAGGATACAATATCAGAGTTTAGATATGCAAGTCAGGTGGCTCTGTATGAATACAGCCTTTGTGATGTGTTTATCAAGGAAATGACCCTGAATGAGTGCATTAAATAGTACCTTACAAAATAACACGCTTTTTACTGTAATATGGTTTGAGCTGCTCGCTTCTCTGAAGTCCTAGGAGAAGGAAAACAAAAAGACTGCCGCAACACTCACCATAGAAACTAGAAGAAGGAAAAAAAAAACACTGACAATAAACTTCTGGTAATAACATTTTCAGTTTTGTTTATGAAGTGATAAGTTGAAGAATGATTTCTGCTGTTAGTCATAAATATTCTTCCTTATGAAGCTTTCATAAAATCAACTTTTAAAATGTGCTTGGTATGGTTAAAATGTACAAAGTATAGAATTTATGGTGGAAGAAATGCTAGAGGAACATGGTATTTCTGATGACAGCAGATGAGTATTGGGGTTGATTCTGTATAGATTGCTTAGGCCTGGTGTTTATTTTTACTCAGGTCTATCTTGTTTTCAGCCCAAAGGTTTCTGTCTTCTGCTAATCAATACTCCTGTTGGTTGAGTTCTGATAACTGTTGGACTTGTTCACTGCTTTGGTGGAATATTGGATCCCCCAATCACAACCAAAACCAAAGTAAATAAGAGGAAATATAGGTGCATGATTTCCGTCAAACAATAGGGTTCAGTGATTCTCAGCTCTCTAGGAAATGAGAATGCTTAGAAAATGTACAGTACGTGATGACACTTCCTGAAAACCCACCATTAGTCATAGGAATGTATATACTGTAAATATATGCCTGTGTATGAGTGTTCAAGTGTTTGCTACAGAAAAGCCAGCTTAACTTGTTAATGTGGGATGACAGTGTAAAGGTTTAAACAGCAGCCTTATCTGCCACTTCACAACTGGGTGCTTCAGATCCAGAACCATTTCACACAGCTGGAATAATGTATGACTGCAGGAAATCTCTAAATGAACATAGAGAATAAGAATAAACGTAGGAAAAACAAGTGTGTGCTATAGACCTATAGCATGAGAGCTATGTAAATGAGCCACTTTGCTTTCACATATCTACGAAACTGAAGCATTTCACACAGCTATAGCTAAAAATACAGTTTTCTTTCTTTCTTTTTTTTGTGTTGTTGTTTTAGCACCCGCCCTCTGAGCTCACTGTGAAACTTGAGGCGGAGGTATGGTCATCCGGGAACATAGCAGTGGAAACTCCTCCTAGATCTGGGGGAGGGGTTTCTGAGGCACATAAAGCTGAGCTGAAATCTAACTTGACTAACGTCTGGAAACAGGTACAAACAGTCAACCCTGGATCAAAGCTGAATCTTCTTCTTTTTGGCCAAAGGGATACAGCATGTCCGAAATGCTTGACATCTTCACGAAGGTGAGTTGAAGTTTAGGAATTTTGTTTTGGAAAGAAAAAGTGTTATAAAGTGTGAGAGGTCAGCTTTGTAACTCCTCTCCACAAGTGGTTGTTTATTCTTGGGCATTTGTATTCCTCCGTGAATCACTGATTTGACAGTGAATTCCTTTTGAACCGAGTTTAGTCACAGAGGATTTCTTCAGTTTGAAGATTTAATGAGATAAAAGAGACAAACTTGTTTGTTTCTTCAATTTCAAACTTCCACTCTCTGAATATTCATGAGAAATAGAAACAGTCAAAACTGCAATTATATACATTTAATTTGTATTTCGTAACTGCATGAAACTTAGCAGATGAAAGGTTTTTTTTTGGTGACTTTACATTTTTGTTTTGTTGTCTTCTATCTTAAATACATTGTTTTGGCATTTGTGTCTTATTTCGTTCTTCAAGAAAAATGTAATATCCTAAACATTAACCTATTCTACATCATGTTATCGTTTGTTGAAAAAAATACTCTAAATAGACGGTTTTGTAGGAAATAGGTTAACAATAAAAATTGATAATACGATATATTTCTTTGAAATTAGTAATAAAGGCGTGTATAGTAACTTTGTCAATCTTCTGTAACAGAACCTTATGAACCTGGCCCTGGATGAAGCGTTGCTTCCGAAACAATCTCAAATCAAAGCCCCGGGGCAGAGTCGGCTGCACCGGTCAGCCTCCTTCTTCTCTCCCCCCTCCCCTCCTCCCTCCTCGAGCCACAGCTTGAGCACCGAGCATGTTAACAATAATGAAAACGGCAGCCCTTTCTGGTCCTCCAACATCTGGAGCCAGGGCCCTGAATCCAATCCGAAACAGCCCACCTTCAGGCCTGACCGCTCCATGAGCCTGACGGAGGCGAGCAGCAGCCTGCTGTCCTCCTTCAGAAAGCTGTCTAACCTGGACGCTTTTCCCTCTACTACCACTGTGGCTCCACCGCCCGGCTTCGCTCCCTCGTCTAACCTCCCACCCCAGATTCAACAATTGGTGGCCCCCAATCGTTACAAGACGGAGCTGTGCCGTGGCTTCCAGGAGACTGGCAGCTGCAAGTATGGCAGCAAGTGCCAGTTTGCCCATGGCGAGGCCGAGCTGCGTGGATTGTTCCGCCACCCCAAGTACAAGACAGAGCCCTGCAGAACCTTCTACAACTTCGGTTACTGCCCCTATGGCTCACGCTGCCACTTTCTCCATGAGGACAAAATCAGCGGAGGTCCGCTACCATCTTCCAAATACCAGAATCAGCAGCAATCAACTCCTGGTGGTCAGAATCCACGCCACCAGTTGCGCCAAAGTGTCAGCTTCGGTGGGTTCCTGGGCTCTTCACGCAGCTCGCCTCCTCCCTCATTCCTCTCATCCTTCAATGATCCTAATCTAGGCTTCAGCCGTGCTAGGTCTGTTTCCCCACCTCCCGCTGACCTCCTCTCCCCAGTGTTTGGTGACTCCCTGCAGCGGGAGCCAACAGCATTCCAGTTTGGCAACCATCAGACCCGTGCCAGCACCGGAGACATCCACAACATTCCTCTCATCATGGAGCCAAAGGCCTCACGCTGTGTGTGTGGCCATGGAAATAACTTTAACGGCAACAACAACAGAGTCTTCAACAGCATTGAGGATGGGCACAAGCAGGACATGCCCTTTTCTGGTCCCGGAGGCCACGCAGGATTCATGAAGCCTGCTGGCCTCCAGCGTTTTTCCTCCGAGGACTCCCTTGAGGACAGCTACAGCAGCAGCAGTGGAGGCTCCAGTGGAACCGAGTCTCCAACATTAGACGCAGCCAGTAAGAGGCTCACTGTGTTTGAGCGTCTATCCCTGTCCGACTAAAGGGATGGAAAAGGGAAGGAGCTGAAGGCGACTGTTAACGGCGCTTATTTATCTGAACTTTCTGCAGAGCCAGATCTGATCAGGACAAGTCCATTTTTTAAACAATAACACTTAAAGTTCTTAATTACGTTAAAATGGAACTTGACTTGGGAAAACTACACATGATGAGATGATTTTAGTACCCAAATGTTATCAGACTATTTTTATACTTACAAATATTATGTAGCTTATTCGACCTTTGTATGTGGTCTTCCATAAAAATGAACTCCTCTGCAGGACTTGACAATGCCAGTAAATATTCTGGTTTGTACTTACCTTAAATCTGTAGTGATCAAAACGGCTTATCTTTAGTGAATCATTAATTCCTACGCCTTAAAGATTCTCCCTGCCTCATAGGCTATTTACTCTTGGTGCCACAAACAGTATGTTTGATTCAGTAGCCTTAATCAGTGAGACCTGACATGTGTCATTGATGCCATTTTATCTGTGATATGCACTTTACAGCTAATCCTAAATGGGAGAAACTGTCAAGTCTCCCAGTAGCATTCAACCAAAGCTTCATACTTCATTCTGCTGTGTGTGTGTGTGTGTGTGTGTGTGTGTGTGTGTGTGTGTGTGTGTGTGTGTGTGTGTGTGTGTGTGTGTGTGTGTGTGTGTGTGTGTGTGTGTGTGTGTGTGTGTGTGTGTGTGTGTGTGTGTGTGTGTGTGTGTGTGTGTGTGTGTGTGTGTGTGTGTGTGTGTGTGTGCGCGCGCATGTAACCATGTCATTTTCCTCATACCTGGGGTGCAAGCATGTATAAGTTGCAGAATGCTAAAAGATCAAAGTGTGCTAGCAGCAAAATGTATGTCAGTGAGTTTGGATTTTAATATCTGTATCCTGACAAACTTTACGAGATTTATTATGTAAAACATTCTGTTATCTTTTCTAGTTTGTAAATTGCACCCCATCATTAATTGTCCCGTTTATTTGACAACCTGGTTCAGGGAGTTTAACACCACAGTATTCCTTTCGGTTATTGGTTGCCTTGTGTTGTTTAACTTAAACTAATATATTTATTATGATATTTATTTGTGTCTAAGGAAAAAAAATGTATTTTGTACTTATTTATGGAGAAATATTTCAACGTCTGTGAAATACCAATGTGAGAAAAAGCAGTAAAAAAAAGAAAATCTTATATTTTTAATTGCCTGAAAGGGACAAAACTATTTCTGAATAAAGAAATGAATGTATGCTTGTTTTGACTCCAATGTGTTTTTCAAGAATTACATGCTTAAACATATAAGCCGGCTACATACCTTAAGGATTATACAATAATGTAATTTGCAGCTTCACATTAACAGTTTTGTACTTTTTTATGTTTTTTTAAGGGTAGGATTAAGGCTAAAGTATAAGTTATCCTTTTCCTTAAATATGGGATGTTATCAATACTAACAACAATTGAATTGATGATTGTACAGTCAACACTATTGGCCCTATCTTGTAAGCAGTAAATAGTGCAAGAAACATTTTTAAATAAATACATATTCAACTTATCAAGGAACTTTATTTTACACCGCTTTTTAATAAATGGCAGAAAATTAATTATTTTAACTGAAACTATTTTACATGAAAGGTAAACCCCGTTTCACTTCTGATAGTTCAGAACATCACTGTCTTTCTAAATACATACAACACTTGATATTACATACGTTGTTTTCTGAGGTTATATACAGAGAAACAGAAAGAAGCATGGATGTGGAACTATGAGCCTTTGTTTCTCCCTCTTCTGTGTGTTGTGGCATACAGTGTCTTTGTTGTGTATACAATAGACTACAGCATTTGGATCAAGTCTAGGAGCACGTACATATTATCCCACTGCTTTCAAACCATCAGGTTACAAAAGATACTGCAAATTGGTGTAAAAATACTTTTGGATCATACAATTCTTACAAATAGGATATGAAAACATGTATGTTTCCATAAGGTCCTACAGTACACATCAAATGGCAGGTCCAAAACAATAGTTCACATGCAAAACAATTATTGATTGAGAAATCTAAAATAATATGGAATTGCAGACACTTGATATGAAAGTCAGCCCTCACTTAACATTGGTACTGATCCAAATCCCTTTTAGGCAGCATCATTGCAAGATTATCATGCAATTTAGTGATCTGGGAGGGAAAAAAAACACAACAAAATGTACGTGTAACCACCATGCTCAGAATTCACATGTGGTTGACGCCTGAAATAACCTACCTGGCCACATAATTAGGATGACTCCACTTTGGTCATGGACAGACAAGTCATCCATCTCATCCATCTGTTCTTGAGTAAAACAATAGGGAATAATGTAATATAGATTTGTAAACGTATATACTATAGGAATGATAGGGCCAAGAGGGCTTAAAAAAACATTTGCATTTTATGACCAACCAATGCAAAACATGTTGTCTCTCTGTCACATCTGACATATTTTATGTATAAGCCAGTGGTTCTCAAACTTTTTCTGTCAGGCCCCCCCTTTGGAGAAAAAAAAAAGTTGGGCCCCCCCAACACAAATAGTCACGTAATGGGCCAAGTTAACATTTATTAAAATGCATCAATATGAACGTGAGCATTCCTTTAAAAAAAAAAAAACAATCACTTTGCTGGAACAGTGATAATAAAACAATGCTCCATAAGTCTGTGTGGTCCAAAAAACAAAAAACATAATACAATTGTGCAATCCCTTTGCTAGAACAATAAGTTATAATACTTTGCCACTTTGCAATCTCAGCAACAAAACAGAACAGAACTGTAAACAGATTTTCTTTTTCTTTATGGATATTTTACAAATCACTCCCCTTTTAAACTTTATTCTTCTTTTACTGTCATATAGTATTTCATACCTGTTTTTCATTTATTCTCTTATTTTTTTATAACTATAATGATCGTATAAACGTGTGCCTCGGAAATAATTGTTTACATTAATCGTGACCAAACCGTTTGAGACCCACTGAGATAACTTAGACTAAAGTTAACTATCTAAACACTCAGAGAGTCCTTTAGCTCACTGAGCCTCTCAGTCTGACAGGAGAGGACTCTCCTCCACCTTGTTGTTGAAAAAGCTCCTTATACCCGTTAGCGTAGCTCGCTAGCACCAGAAGCTAACAACAACAATCTCCGGTACCGGTGCGCTCTCTCTCTCTCGCTCGCGCACGCACACAAAATGGCTCGTTCCACACACACAGAGCAAAGCTTGAATGAAACACAGAGACCCAGACGTACTTGTACTGTACTGTATCATATTATTTTCGAATCAATAATTATTCAAATTAGGATTTTCTTTTTTTTCTTTCTCCTGGCCCCCCACTTTGAGAAACACTGGTATAAACCCATTCAACCAGTCAACAGTTAACCCATTTAGATTATGTTATGTACAACACAACATGTAGAAAAAGCAATGGGGTTACTCTGATACCCCTTTCACACCAACGGTGTTTCAGGGCCGGTTCGGTGCTGGTGCTTGAAAAGCACCGGGTTTTCCTGTTCACACCGCAGCGGAGCAGCGTCATAGCTCCGGAATCCGGTTCGTTTCGAGCACCAAAAAGTTGTCCGTCTAGAAGCAAGAACCGCATACGTCACGCTTACGTCGGAGGGGGGCGAGATTAACCTGAGCTAACACTTAAGGCGAGTACGGCAAATAAAAGTTGTAACAAGCAGTAGTGCTGAGCAAAGTGACTAGAACGCAACCACACACTTGTTAAAAAAAACACACTTTATAAAGTCAGGCAACACTAACCAGGCTTCGTGTGATTCTGTTTATTTGTACCTTACTTTGACCATCCGTTCGCTGTTATTGATCATTGTGGAGAGCAGGCAGACGTTTTGTTTGTTATTATAGCAGCTATCGGATGGAATCAATACATGGGCTGCACAGGTTGTCATGTCCGACTATCACAAGTAGAATCATAATGAAAAATACGTCGGTAAAAAGTGCCTGTAGAAAACTGCTTAGCAAGTAGTCAGTTTAGCTTCGGTTGCTATGCTAACATCACCCATGTTATACCAGAGAAACTTTCATAACAGCGTTGTGATGCCAAACAGCGTCAATTCAGACTGACACCAAACAGCGTCAATTCAGACTGACACACATTCACTTAAGGGGAACTGGGGATATGTATCAGCTGCTTGTGTGACAGTCAGACAGTGAATACTTTAGAGCCGTGTGAGCTAACCCGGAGCTAACGGGAGAATACACTCATGGAAGAGCAGCAGCACTGCAGCGGTCGGTAAATGCCGCTGAAACACATTAATAAACAATGAACCACGGCACTCTGGAGAAAAGTATAAGGTTGGAGAAGTCGTTATTTAATTTAATCTGGCTTCGTATGATTAAAAGCAACGCAGTCCCCGGCCCGTTGTTATTGTGAGGTGAGCTCCGGCGTTGGGGAGAAACTCAGCGACGTAAACTGTGACGTCATGACGCAGCAGCGGCAGCACCAGTCGGGCTCTGAGCGGTGTGAAAAGAGCCGGCGCTAAACCGAAGAACCGGTTCTGAACCAGAAAAGCTCTAGCACGGAGCTTGAACCGGAGTTGCGTTGGTGTGAAAGGGGCAATAGTGTTCTCTTTTCACTGGAAAATTCCAGCTGGTGTCATCTCCAGCATCCTGGGCTGAATTGCCAATGTTCAGAGCTAAAAGCATAGGAACTTTTATGGACATGGGATTGTGTAAGGCACGTTTACAAGTTAAGCAGAAGTTCATGAAAACCCCCTGTTGCAATTTCCCCTTTACACTCCCAGTGTGATCTTGTGTTGAGCAACCCGCAACCACAGCCACCACCCCGCACACGCTGCCAAAGCACTGGATTCTGTGTAACAAGGCTGCAATCTGGAAAAAGAGCCAAACATTTGCCACAGTAATGATGTCTGAGAAACAGACACAAACAAAAGACCTTTCAGAAATTGAGAAACTTGTTGCCTCAGTCTAAAATGTGTTTGAGACATTTTTTACGAGTTGACCTCAGAACCTTCAACATTGACTAATCTTTACAACGCATGATTACAATTCTGCTGTTTTTCGAAGTGGAGTATCATGGTTGTGATTTTGAGCAGCTGATGTAACAAAATACATTGACGTTAACAGGTCTGGACAGTGCAGTTTGAATTGCAGAGACGAATACAAATGATTTAGAATCTGTCCTATCTGAGGGCAGGTTTTATAAGAACTTCAGAGCCTAAGAAATTGGCGTGGGGATTTGTATTGTATTTACAATGCTACACTGGGGTTGTTTCTTAATAACTCTTATTACTGTCTCTTATTCTTAAAATGACAAAGATATTCTATATGTCTGGTTTTTATACCTAAGCTGTATGGCCTGGTTAAAATTAACTCTCAAAATGTAGCCTGCTGGGTCTGGTTAATATGGCTTGGTTTCAACACAGTCATTGGCTTTTATCCACACAAACTCTGGTGTGGTTCTTTGGCGGTGAGAACATATGGTGGTCCAACCACAGGATTGTGTGATAGTGGATACTGGTGACACTCATTCAACAACTATTGTTACTGCCCAAATCAAAATAAGCAATTATTTCAGAATTTGTGAACTGCATTCATCCCGGATCATTTGGTCCCCATGGTAATGTGTAACCATGTAAAAATGTGTGTGGATTTTTTCCACAGGGGTTGATAACAGGTTTAAACAAAAGTGTGCTATACCTTGGAAGTTCCTTTACAAAAGTGAGTTTTTAAAAAGGTGTGGTGATAAAAAAAATCCAAATCGCAACGCAACAATTTCTCCTTTTCTAAGTTTGTGATGAAGTATGCATAACATTATACACATATATAACATAGCATGCAGACACCTTGTGCAGGGGAATAATTTAACAAAAATATAATGTATACAGACCCAAAAACATGGCCTACACATTGTGGGCCAACAGTAAGTGAAAGAGAAAAAAGAAAGTATGGCATATGCCTTTTGTGTCCTCTGTCTACACCAGCATGGGAAGGATATACTTGTTTGTGTGTAATAACCAATTGAGAAGAAAACATATCTGTAAATACTTAAATAGAACAACACATTGTTGGTGTTTTTACTTAAGTCTAAGTCACCGAAATACACTCCAAGGGGTACTTTTACCCACTTTAATGTCTTACACATGTTTTTTGTGTATGTTAAGTGTCCTTGCAAGCCTAAAATGGAAACAGACATACACATGTCCTGCAATAAAAAATGATCTCTCAAAGCTATGCTTATGATAAGCAACATT